ACTCTGTCACCCAGACTAGAGTGCAGTGGTGTGATCTTGGCTCACCACAGCCTCGACCTCTGGGCTCAAGCCTCCCACCTCAGCCTCCCAAGTAGCTGGGACTACGGATGTGCACCACCATGCTCGACTAATTTTTTTATTTTTTGTAGATATAAGGTCTCACTATGTTGTCTAGGCTGGCCTCAAACTCCTGGATTCAAACGATCCTTTTGCCTGGGTCTCCCAAAGTGTTGGGATTACGGGCCTGGCCATCTGGCCATCTGAGTCATTTTTTTTTAATTGAGATGGAGTTTTGTTCTTGTTACCCAGGCTGGAGTGCAATGGCACAAACTTGGCTCACTGCAACCTCCATCTCCTGGGTTCAAGCAATTCTCCTGCCTCAGCCTCCTGAGTAGCTGGGACTACAGGAGTGCGCCATCATGCCCAGCTAATTTTTGTATTTTTAGTAAAGATAGGGTTTCACCATGTTGACCAGGATGGTCTCCATCTCTTGACCTCATGATCCACCCGCCTCAACCTCCCAAAGTGCTGGGATTATAGGCAAGAGCCACCACGTCTGGCCCATCTGAGTCATTTTTAAGTGTGCAGTGCAGTGGTTTTGAATACATTCACAGTGTTATGCAACCATCACCACCATCCACTTCCGGAACTCTTTCCATCTTGCAAAACGCCGTGCCCATTGAACAGTAACTCCTCATTCCCTCTTGCTCCAGCCCTGTGCAACCATCATTCTACTTTCTGCCTCTATGATTTTGACTACCCTAGATACCTCATATAAGTGGAATCATATAGCATTTGTCTTTTTGTGACTGGCTTATTTCATTAGTGTACTGTCTCAACACCATCCCGTTGTAGCATGTGTTGGAATATTTTCCATATTAAGGCTTAGTAAGATTCCATTGTGCATTTATACCACATGTTGTTTACCCATTCATTGGTTGATGGACACTTCAGTTGCTTCCACATTGTGAATAATGCTGCTACAAACATGCGTGTACAAATATTTCTCTGAGACCCTGCTTTAAATTCTTCTGGGTATACACTGAGAAGAGGGATCGCTGGATCACATCGTAATTCTCTTTTTAATGTTTTGAGGAACCACCATCCTGTTTTTCCATAGCAGCTGTTCCGTTTTATAATCCCACCAACGGTGCACAAGGAGTCTAATTTCTTTACACCCCCGCCAACATTTGTTTTTTCCCATTTATTTGTTTATTTATTTATCTTAGGTTTGAGGGTCTTGGTATGCGACCCAGGCTGGCCTCCAATTCCTTGGCTCAAGAGATCCTCAGCCTCTCAAGTAGCTGGGATTACAAGCACAAGCCACAGAGCCCCACACATTTTCCATTTTTTTTTTTTTTTGGCTAGTAGCCTTCTTAATGGGTGTGAGGTGGTATCTCTTAGTATTTTGGTTTGCTTTTCCCTAAAAATTAGTGATGTTGAGCATCTTTTCCTGTGCTTAGTGGTCATTCGAATACCTTCTTTTGGGAAACATCTGTTCAGTTCCTTTGATTTGGGTTGTTTTCCTCCGCCCTCAGTCTTGCCACGTTTATGGATTTGACATCATATCACCAGCACATAAATCAGTTTTCTCGGACCTGAAGCGACAGGAAGAAGTGGCAGGAAGAAGCGGCAAGGACTTAGGCTCCTGGGTTCCAGCTCTCTTGTTCTCCCTTGCTCATCAGGCTGATAACCCCAGGAGTGACAGGAAAGCCTGGAAGACCAACTTCCCCTTCTTTAACAATCCTTTTACTCAGGGTCAGCCCAGAGTGACAGGTTCCAGGTACCACCTAAGACATCTGATTTAAGGTGAAGAGTGATGTGGTTAGAATTGGCCAGCACTTTGACGGCTGCTAATATAACCTTTAACATGTGTATTAAAATGAATACTCAGCTTAGTTCAGTCTTTCACTTCCTTTTAATACTTGAAAAGCTACGTTTTATTTTAAAGTTCCCCTGAAAGGCTCTAGTAGGTGAATTTATTCTTCCGCTTGACTGAATTCGGACCCTTAAGTAACAGCCACCTTGAAACTGAAACTGGGAAAATTCCAGGTCTCCGGCCAAAAGAAGCAAAGGTATGTTCTGAGATTTATTAAATAATTACCCACTTGTTGACATGTTATGGGCGGGAGAAAAAAGCTGAGGAGTTGGCACACATGAGTAGAGATTAGTAAGAATATTGAGTCATGAGGGTTATAAACGTGATAGAATATTTTGGTGTTACTGACCTTTGACTCAGGACAGTTGAACCAAGGGACGTGGGCTTCAGACTCAATCTAGCCTTGACTTGGTATATCTTTATACTGACCTCAGTGACCACAGCCAACTGTGATCCTGTCGTGTGGAGCGTTCACAGCAATGACTTGAAGGGAAGAGAATAAGGACTGAGAAACAAAACTTGGACTTCGTGGGCCTTTGTGACACCCCATCTGCAGTTGGGCTTAATAGCACATAGGGAAGGTTTCCTAATGTAGTACTGCTTTGGGACTAATTTGACTCAGAGTGCTGGGGAGGGAGGATGTTTCGCTTGGTGATACCTTCCATCAGTGTTCCAAACTTCAGCCATCGGTGCCTCTTTTGAAATTTGTCATGCTGTTTACCATAACTTACTTAATACTTTGCAGTGGCTCCTTAACTTAAATACTTTTATTTTAAAGTAACTTCTACTGTTTGATGTCCTGGACTGCCTAGCTTGGTCAACATTGTTACCATCTGTTGGGTCATCCAGGGCAGAAACGTGAGTGTTATCCTAGACTTCTCACTTTGCTCAAAGCCCACACCCCATGTTCTATTAACATTGTCTCCTGGCTGTGCGTGGCGGCTTATGCTTGTAATTCCAGCACTTTGGGAGGCCCAGGTCAGTGGATCGCTTGAGGTCAGGAGTTCAAGGCCAGCCAGGTCAACATAGTGAAACCTTGTCTCTACTAAAAATACAAAAAATTAGCTGGGCGTGGTGGCACACACCTCTGATCCCAACTACTCAGGAGGCTGAGGCAGGAGAATCACTTGAACCTGGGAGGCAGAGGTTGCAGTGAGCCGAGATCGTGGCACTGCACTCCAACCTGGGGGACAGAGTGAGTAAGACTCCATCTCAAAAAAAAAGTCTCCTATGTACAGTATGAATAGATAATTATCATCCAAATTAGGGCATTTTGGGGAGCAAATGGGACACTATTAATAATTATACCCAGGGTAAACTGTCTGAAGCAAATGGGGATGTAAGATCAACCCATCTGTACCGTCTTGACTCCTCTTCCCACTGCATTCTTCCCACTATCACTGCCTTAGTTCAGCCCTTCGAAATTATTTGCTTAGACCAGTGCAGTAACTTGCTACTGTTTCCTTGACTTCAATCTTGGTCCTTTCCAACATGTCTTACACACTGCACATAAACATTTAATATAGCACCCTTTTCAAACCCCTCAGTGTCTGCCCAGAATGTCATGATGCATTTCAAATTCCTTAGTGTGGCTTATGAGGCTACTCACAGATTCGGTTCCTTCTAGCCTTCCAGCCTGTTTGTTCATTTATCTATTCCTCCATCCACATTTATTGTCACTGTGGGTGGTACAATGTTAGGCTCCAGGAATATAATAAGACGGGTGTTTGCCCTCAAGATATTTATAGTGGAGTAGAGAAACAGTCAAGGGAATGCTGTAGCAATATGTGTCACGATGAAGCACTGCAACCTATGGTCTCACTACCCAGGGTGTGGTCCAGGGACTAGCAGCATAAGCATCACTTGGGAGCTCTGTAGAAATGCAGAGTCTAAGTCCTAGGGCAGTGGCTCAAATCTGTAATCTTGGCTTTGGAAGGCTGAGGCAGGAGGATCACTTTAGGCCAAGAGATTGAGGCCAGCCTGGGCAACATAACAAGACTTCATCTCCACAAAAGAAAAAAAAATCTTAAATTAGCTGACGTGGTGGCACACATCTGTAGCCCTGGTTACTTGAGAGTTAAGGCAGGAGGATGGATGGCTTGAGCCCAGGAGTCTGAGGTTTCAGTGAGCTATGATTGCACACTTTGCTCCAGCCTGGGTGACAAAGTGAATGAGAAAGAAAGGAAGGAAGAAAGGAAGGAGGGAGGGAGGGAAGGAAGGAAGAAAGGAAGGAAGGGAGGGAGGGAGGGAGGGAGGAAAAAGAGAGAGAAAGAAAAAGAGAGAAAGAAAGAGAGAAAGAAGAAAGAAAGAAAAAGAAAGAAGAAAGAAAAAAAGAAAAAGAAAGAAAGAAAAAGAAAGAAAGAAAAAGAAAGAAAGGAAGAAAAAGAAAACAGAATCTTAGGGCCCCAAGGCAGGCTCAGTAAATCCGAATCTGCATTTTAACAAGATGCCTAGGTGATCAGAGTGAATGTCAGTTTCTGAAGTCCTCCTCTATGGGACCACACTAGTTGAAGAACTTGATTTAGATCCCCAGGAGTAGTCATGCCTGGCAAGAGACTTGGAGGAGATGGAGTTTGCTAAATGAAGGCGAGGTGGGAAAAGGCACATGTCCTGGAGGGATTGGCATGTGCTTTGGCATGCAGGCAAAAGAGGATGTGCTGTTTGCGGGAAGTTACAAGTCGTTCCCTATTTTGGGAACAGACATTGCTGATGGTGGCCTCATTTAACTCAGAGATGCTGTCAATTCAAGGAAAAAGTTTGATCAAATTTGATACCTCCATCTCTTCTTCGAGCTGATCCTGAAACAGTGACTAAGAATGAGTACTTTGATTCATAAAGACAAAGAACAGAACAGAGGGTACCTGGGGTTGGGACAGGGGGAGATGGGGAGTTATGGCTTAATGAATAAGGGTTTCTGTTTGGGTTGGTGAAAACATTCTGGAAATGGGTAGTTGTACAACATTATGAATGCCACAAAATTGTAAATACTTTAAAATAAAGTGGTAAATTATATATATATATTTTTACCATAATTTTTTAAAATGATAAGTACTTTGGAGTCAAGATCTAATTTTCAAGACCTACCATTTCCTTTCTGTCTTGCCTCAGTCAAGTCAGATAACATCTTGGTGCCTCGATATCCTTATCTGTAAAGTGGGAATAATGCTGGCACCTGCCTTGTAGACTTGTTATAAGGATTCCTTGAAGCGATGCCTGTAAAGCTCCTGGAAGCTTGTTGGTGATCCTTATGCCATTAAAGCTTGAAATGCCCAGCCTTAGCACATTGCCTGGCACAGCCAGAGGTGCAGTTGCTGTTATATCCCTTCCACCTCCTCTTCGACTGCATACCCTCAACTGTCTTCTCCCTGTACAGCAGGAATGTTCAACTCTGGCTGCCCATTAGAATCACCTGGAGAGGTTTTTAAAGCCCTGTTGCCTGGAGCAATTAAAACAGAATTTCAGGAGGTCATACGGAAGCATTATTATTTCAGGTGATTTCAATGTGCAGCCAAAGCTGAGAAACACGGTTCTGTAGCAGCGGCTTGCAAACTTTAGTGTGCATCAGAATCACCTGGAGGGCTTGTTAAAACTCAGTCTATGGGACCTGCCCGAGAGTTTCTAATTTCGTGGATACAAGACAACTCTCCTTCCTTCCACCATCTGTGTGGCTGCCCCTCCTTTTATTTGCCATCTGTATCTCTTTACCCTCTTCCTAATGACCTCTTCCAGACCCATTACTGAAATCTTTTTTGAGAAGATTTGCCAGTAGGTGTCTTTATGCCAGTGGGGTCGATATTCTCAAACCTGTTCCAGCTTTAGTCACAGTTGACCATGTCTCAAAATTCTCCTCCTTTTAGTTCAGAGCTGCCACTCTCGGAGTTGTCCTCATTTCTCTTTCCTTCTCCCTCCTCTGCTTGGAACTCGTGACTCCCATGACCATTCTTTGGGTCCCTATATTTATCCCTTAAAAAGAGCACAGTCTTAAGTGTGAGACAGATGTGGGTTTATGTCTTGTACTTGGGCAATTCAAACTCTGAGCCTCATTTTTCTCACTGGTAAGTCATGGGTGATAATAGTATCCCTATAAATAATACGTCCCTGACACATAACACTCAACAACTAGCTATTATAGTGTTTCACCTTTAAGAACATTGCAAAATCTTGACCTCAGAGAGAATTCCTAGGGTAGAGGGACTGGCCCAAGGGATGCAAAGGGCAGAGCTGGGAATACAGAAAGCACGGCATGGAGGAACAAAGCCAGGGTTTACCAAAAGCAAGGAGATGATTCCAGAAATTTTCCAGGAGACCTGGGGAGACAGCGAAGTGACTGATGGGATGTGATAAGAAGAACTGACCAAGAGACTTCCCATGACGGCATTAAAATGTGGGCCTTCCGAACACAGGGAGGGTGTTACTAACGGCACTAGGATGGCCCCAGAAGAAATGCACAAGGGGATTTCAACCCCATAAGTGTGGAACTCAGTCACTTTGGCAGGAAACAAAGTGATAAGAACCTGTTACAGTTTGCACCATCTATTACAGTCCATGCAAAACATGACCGTGGGGTGTTACACAGAGCTCTCATTGCAAGATAAGGTCTCTGCGTGCTGTTTCCCGTCGATGATGTTATTCAGCAGGATGGCTCACATGTTGAAACTTGAAACTCCTTGGGTGAAAAAAAATCCCTCTGCAGGCTCTACCAGATGTTACTTGTTGTAGCTCCTCAAGCCCAAAAAAATGAGTTAATCCTTGAAGGACATTATTTTGAACTTGCATCAAACTCAGAGGCTTTTATCCAACAGGCCATGGCAATTAAAAACAAGGCTATCAGAAGAGCTGTGGGTGGTAGTCCTGTCTCTGAGAAAGGAACAGGGCCACTGGCTGACGGCCGCATTCCAGAATGCCTCCAGATGCAGAGGCCCTCACTTAGTGTGATGTTGTGAAAATACTGCACTTTAAACACATGTATCATAAACAAAACTTCCTCGCCCTCTAAAGACCTCACAGAAGTATCACTCCAAGGCACTTCTCTTCTGAATGCTCCAGGCCTTGCTGACCTCAGTTACCTTCTAGTTCTCTTACCCTCCTCACCCACAGCACACAGGTCACCACTTAATATTCTTGCGATATATAGTCTCCTTTCTCCAGTTATATGGTGAGTTTCTAGACATCCTAAACCCGTTACATTTGATATTCCTCTGTCTCTCTGAATGCCTAGCACTCTAAGAGGCACATAATTTAAAAAGAGTCATGTTCTTCCTTGCACGCCTGAAATCTAGCACAGCACCTGGCATGTCGCAGACGCTCAATAAGCAAATAGGTGGTTATTAAATGAGTGAAACTGTTGATTGATAGCCTGGTTGAGTCAGCATGAAAAGGTAGATAAAGGGAAGATTCAGCAGGCATCTTATATTGTTTACCCAGCACCTCACTCCTCTCCTTCCAGAAGTTTCCCTCACCCAACCCCATCTTTGTGCCCACCACAGGAGCTGATGCAAACTGCTTCAGTGAGTTCTTTTTTTGGGACTTTTTGACTTGGAACTAGAGACAATGTTAAGATAGTGTCTTTCTAGTGACCAAAGCTATGTGGATGTACCAGTAAATTTAGGAGCTATTGGCCCCCATGCTTTTTGCTACACAGAGAAGGCTCATCTCCAGCTGGAGTGAAGAATGAAGCTAATTCTGCAAACAGAAAGTTTTCAAAACTCCTCATCCTCATTTGTGGTTTTAATTAGCACCTTTTTGCCTCCCCTCCCTGGGCTGGTGTATTACCAGATACAGGGGAGGCATGTATCATACCTGGATGCTAGTTTCTGGTAGCTTGGGTCTTTGCTTTTCATTTTCAACAGATTTTTTCCATATGTGCATTTGTCGAGAAGCTCAGATGCCTGGGGCTGCAATGCCATCTGTGTATAATGAAAAACATTTATAAAGACTTTCCAAAGTGCACAAAGGGTGATGGGCTCTCTGAACAGCAGCCATGGACTTCACACCAAAATATGGTCTCTGTGAGCAAGGGCAATGGGAAGAGCCTTTGCACAGTTCTGTGGTAGAGAAGATGGTTATAGAGACCAAATGGTGTTCACGTTTTCTGAACCTCAAACCAGGGCACATAGCATATGAGGGAATTTATGGAAACAATAGGACAGCTTGTTTGATGTTGAGCAACCAGCTTGAGATTGCTGGTTACCGTATTTATAGAGCTAATCTTTAGCATCAAGACCTACTCTAGACAGCCTGGTTTATTTACTGCCACTCAAAGAGCCCGTGCTGGTTTTATCCTTGGCATATGCCGCAAAGTTCCGAGTGTCAAAGAGTTCCTCCTCCCTTTTTATGTTTTCCATTCACGTCCTACGCATCCTGGAGGTCCAACTTCTTACCTCCTCCAGAAACGACTGTTCCATCTGATCCGCCACACCTGGCATTTCTAAGAATGGCAAAGACATGTCATATAACCACATACCCACACTCCACACATCCGTGACCGACATCACTAATTGATGTTAGGGCTCTTTCCTTCTGTAGCTGGCAAAGCCCTCAGAATTCTTCCCAACACAGCTCTGGAGGCAACCACTAAAGGCTGACTGGAGTTCTGTGAATCCTAGTTGCTGTCTCTCATCTGTTCCCTTAGATTGCTACTGAAAGTTTCTGAGCGTGTTTGTCTTCTTTCTGTAGCTGAGCTGAGTCCCTGAGGACGGCGACCAGGCCTCAATGGCCCTAACAACAACAATAATAGCAGTGGCGAACATTTATTGAGTACTTATATGTCCTGCACTGTGCTGGCCATTTAACACGTATTATCTAATGGAATCCTCAGCCATTCCTCTGGAGAAGGTAGTATTATCCTCACTTTATAGATGGGGAGTCTAGATCTTAGAAGATAATAAGCAACTTGTCCAATTGTACAGTCAGAATGTAGCAGAACCAGAACTTGACCCCCAAATATTTGCTCTTATCCAAAGTGGTGCATTATCTTGACCTCTTTTGTATATGTGCATAGTAGGTGTTTATTGCAAATTTGTTGAATAGGAGATTTTTAGAAAGCAATGAAGTTCTTCACAAGAGAAAGAAAGAAATGGAATTGAAAATACCGGAAGCAAATTCTCCTCCCCAAGGGTTCAGAGCATTTTGAAAGAGGTTTACTGAACTTTCCCAATATCTTTGGCTAAAGGCAACAGCATTCCCCATTCCACAAGTAAACACGCTTTATGAATACAGAAATTCTAAAGGTCAACTCCAATGAATGGGAGGGATCCTGGTGAGGAAGTGGCCTGGGAGCCTCCTGACAGGGGCCCTGCAATGTCTACTACCTCCCAGTCACTGGCACCTCCCTGGGACTCAGTTTCCAGACTTGTAGAACAATTCATTTGGACTTGATTAACACTTCCCAAGTGTGTTCCCTGGAATATTGGCCCTGCAAAAAATTCATGTGAAAAGTAGTTCTGTTGTCAAGCATGATTGGGAAATTGCATTTCCCTTGGGAGATACATGGTCCATATTAAATGCTCTGAGAAGGCCAGCAGGAAAGAAGCTCCTTATTTAATGTTACTTAATTCTTATTTAACCCGGCATTTCCTAACCCTCTTTGGTTTCACAGAATAACAACAAATATCTCTCATAACGAATCCCATACTTGGTAAAACAAAACAGAACAGAACAAAACACACAATTGGCTGAATATATTCTAAGGACCCTCCCTCACATTCAGTAAGTTTATGAGATAATAATATAAGTTGACTATAAATGGCCCCTCAGTGAATTACAGGTGGAATCACAATTTTGAATTTTTGAGATGGATCCAAAAAGTGTAAGGGGTTTTAAGATAAGGAACCAAACTTAGCAGTTCATGCTGCCTGGTTAGTTTCCCAATATGAACGACAGGGGGCACGAGGGGACTGTAGTAATGACCACTCCTCCACAAACTCAGCAAGAAAGGGCAAACCAAACAGAGGGAGGGATTTCAGCAATTCCTTTTCCAGCAGAATGGAAAGCTACTGAGAGCGAACTCCTTTCCCTTTCATGTTGCTGTCTGTCTTTCTGTTGGAGGAATACAATGAGATAGAATCAGGATGGGTAACACCTTTCTTGTGCTCTTCTCTTTATAGATAGAAAATCACATAAAGCAACTCTTTTCAACAACTGCTTGTCAGTGGTTTGTTTTCACCTTGGGGCAACTAACTACATTCCACTGTGGAAGTTCTCATTGAAGAAACAGAGAGCCTATGAGTTGAGAAATGAAGTTTTTCCTTCAGCAGCTTTCTCGTTTTAGAAAAGGAATAAATTGTACATGTGAGGAAAAGAACAAAATTCTTTTGGACATAAGTTCTTTGTAATTTAGTTTTCTTTTTCTCTAGACTTTGGGGTTGAGACTTATACAGTAAGACTCTTTTTAATGATGTGGTGGGCTATAAAAAGACTGGGGGCAAAGGCATATGTCACATAACTTTTTCTCACTTGTCATGTCTTTGGTGTTCTCCTGTGAAGCAGAACCAAACAGGCGGGCCTCCCTATCCAAGCCAAGCACAAGAGACTTAAGGTAATTATCAGCAGTAAAATCTCAAGTGGTTTATTTTTTTTCTTTAAATCTTCCCTTGTTATTATCGGCCAATACTACCCCTACACAGCACCTCTCACATAGGAGAGAAGGCTTTACACAGACTTTTAAAACATTTTCCTTAAGAGAAGAGGTGTAAACAAAATCCAGGAGAGAAACTCTGAGCTTGGAGAGTCTTCTGCATTCATCTAATTCCGTCCTTGCACTGTGTACACGAGGGGACCAGGGAGTCATGCAGAGAGGTACCAGTCCAGCCAGTCCCTGAGCTTCTAGACAATTGTTCTCCAAAGCAATGCCCTTCCCTCCGCTCTGTGCTGGACCCCAGCCTCAAGCCCTGAAGCGACTTCAGGCTCTTATTTCTGCAGGCATGCAGGAGCAATAGTTACCTTCCGCCCTAATTCTATATACTGCAGCATGCGACTTGTTTTTGACAATCCCTTTCTTGTCCCAGTAAGAACAGGGGAGAAAATAGCATGTGAAGGGATATTGCTGGATCAGCAAACAAAGCGCAATTTGTCTGATTTTTGATCCATCTTTACCATTCACCTCTCAAAGAAATGCTGGGAAGAGCTTGGAAGCTAGCAATTAAGCAGTTTAAATTCTTTGGAAAGATTCTAGTGCCTTAGAATTCCAGGAAGTGCTGAATCACATAGTTGCAGAATAGGAAAAGATTTGTAAGACAAGGGTAAAATGAATATTTATTGAACACCTCCCATATTATTAGATATATTTTGTCTCAGCCTCACAGTCTTAGAGGCAGGTCTGCTGTGATCTCCTGTTAGAGAAGGAAACTGAGGGTCAGAGTGGTTAACTGGAACTGGTAAACTAAGATTTGAACTTAGGTCTATTTGGACTGAAGAAAAAACTCCTCAGAATTATTACGCGATTACTTTCTTTGTTCTCACCTCCTGTTTCCTACTGGAGGATGCTCAGTTCATATCCTCTAACTATGAAAGATTTCCTTTCCCCATACTATCTTCAGATTATCTTCTTACAGATAGAAACATTCTACAACCACATGCATATTTGCCTTTCACAACCATTCTGGTGAACAAGTTCTTCCTAGCATCTGACTTAAATACCCCCAGTGCACTGAGAACCAACAGCCCTTCCCTCAGGGAACGTGGAACCTGGTTACAACATTCCAGTTAGCAGCAGATTCCCAGTCTTGGTTCCAAACTGCTTCTGTTAAAAGAATCGCCAATTCACAACACATGCACTGTCACGAAGCCTCGCCCTGGTCCAGATGCTCAACTCCTTGGGCCCCTTTCAGGGTGAACATGAATATCACTCAGGATCAGGCTCCGTGATCCAGATTGCCACCAAGAGGGATCAAGGCTTTTCTTCTATCTGCATTCCCGAGCTGAGCCTAGATTGGATCTCCTTTTTCAAAGTACATTCCAGGACTCTCATTTTGTGTGATCAAATAAAGGGCCTATTTGTATTTGAGTTGTGTCAGGGATGAGAAAACAAAATTCTTCCACTGAGAATTTGGGCACCTTCTATAATTCTATGATTCCTTTTTTTTTCTTTTTGAGACCGAGTCATGCTTTGTCACCCAGCTTGGAGTGCAGTGGTATGATCTCAGCTCACTGCAACCTCTGCCTCCCGGGTTCAAATGATTCTCATGGTTCAGCCTCCCAAGTAGCGGGGATTACAGTCATGTGTCACCACGCCCAGCTAATTTTTTTTTTGTATTTTTAGCACAGATGGGGTTTTACCATGTTGGCCATGCTGGTATTGAACTCCTGGCTTCAAGTGATCCACCTGCCTCGGCCTCCCAAATTGTTAAGATTACAGGTATGAGTCACACCATCCAGCTCACCTTCTATGTTTCTTTACTAATAGAAAAATCAAGCCCTTTGCAAAAATGCCTGCATACAGCATGATAGAGAATAACCTTCAATCCTGCTCCTTTAGGGGCGTATCTTTATTCATCATGTATTTAACAGCTAATTTTAATAATAGCTCATGTTCAGTGAGTATTTACTATGTGCTGGGCTTTACATGTTTTAAGCTTTACACATTTTAGCTTGTTCTCAGCAATTCCAGGAAGTAAATTGTCGTTAGCATTTTTATTTTTATTTTTATTTTTTGAGTCGGAGTCTCACTCTATCGACCAGACTGGTGTGCAGTGGCGCATTTTCGGCTCACTACAACCTCTGTCTCCCAGGTTCAAGCTGCTCACTTCAGCCTTCCAAGTAGCTGGGACTATAGGTGTGTGCCACCATGCCCGCCTAATTTTTGTGTTTATTGGTAGAGATGGGGTTTCACCATGTTGGCCAGGCTGGAGCATTTTGATTTTACAATTAAGGCTAAAGAAGGGAAGCAAATTACCTAAGGCTGCCAGGTAATAAGTGACTGAACCTAGGCAGTCTAATTCCAGAATACATGCTCCTGAGCACTATATTAGTGTTCATTTTGGCTGTGGATAACAGAACCCAAAATGAGAGTGGTTTAAATAAAATGGAACTTTATTTCTCATATGTGAAAGTCCAGAGGTTAGTCCAAACTAGATAATCCAAAGCTAGACTGAAAGCTCGATTCCACACGGTGCTCAGGGCTCCAGGCTCCTTCTCTATCCCAGGACTCCTAATGTGTAGTTTCATCCCTAACATTCAAAATAGATGCTAGAACTTAAGCCATCCCATCTGTATTCCAAGCAGCAAGATGAAAGAAGGGACATCATAGAAAAGGGATGAAACACATGCCAGTTGTTTACTATGAACTGTTCCTGGATGCAGCCATGTGACATTTCTGTTTACACACCATGGATCATAGTAGCAAGAAGACTGGGGGTAGTCATTAGTCTATGTGGCTTTGTGACTGGTTATAAATTAGAGGATTTCATTACTGAAAGGAGGAGAGAAGTAATCAGAGGCTAGATGGGTATATAGAAGGATAGAGGGAGATGAAGCTGGAGAAGGGGCAGAGCCTGGGTGATGAGAACTTACCAGGACCCTATGTTTCCCCACTCTAATCTTTGGGTTCATTTCCTATTCCAGGAGGTACCAAAGAAAGGCAAGGGCCATACCTTGAAAACCATCAGTTATGGCAAGTGACTGACCCTCTGAAGCTTTGTAATCAGCACTCCTAGAACTCAACTCAGGCGTCCACTTAGGTGATGAACTTTAGGCAGGTTCCAATCTGGGACCACCAGTTCATTAGGTTCAAATGGACGTGGGTGGCTTCTGATTGGTGTCTCCAGAAAGCCCAGAAAGGGAAGAAGGTGTGGGGAGGGGGACACTGTATTGGGCCACAGCCTCAGAGTGGCCCTTGCCTCTGAACCTCCAGAGCAAGCCTGGATGCCAGCCATGAGAGAGGAACTTCACGGTTTCCAAAGCTCTTTTGCATGTGCTATTTCCCCTGCAACACAAAATTGTGGTAGGGCTTGCTCTGCTCCCTGTTTTGCCAGTGGGAAAATGAGTCAGAATCCCCCTGTGATTTTCAGTAGGATGAGGTGAGGTTTTAGAATCTGTCTTTTCACAGGGGTGTCAGGGGAGTCTTAGGTTTAAATAACTTTGGAACCCCCCCAGCTCAGGGTGGCAAGTGATATCGGAGGGTCACATCTCAGGGGGCAGATAAATCACAAGACCGTAGACTCTGTGATTAATAAAATGCTCTAATTTATTTTTTTAAATTTTTATTTATTTATTTATTTATTTTTGAGACAGAGTCTCACTCTGTCACCCAGGCTGGAGTGCAATGGCACGATCTTGGCTCACTACAACCTCTGCCTCCTAGGTTCAAGTGATTCTCCTGCCTCAGCCTACTCAGTAGTTGGGATTACAGGTGCCCATCACCCCGCCCAGCTAATTTTTATATTTTTAGTAGAGACAAGGTTTCACCATGTTGACCAGGCTGGTGTTGAACTCCTAACCTCGTGATCTGCCCACCTGGCCTCCCAAAGTGCTGGGATTACAGGCGTGAGCCACTGTGCCCAGCCAAAATGCTCCAGTTTATAACCAGACACAAAGCCATCTAGAATAACAACTAGCCCAGCCCTCTTGCTACTATGATCAGTGGGATGTAAGGAGAAATGCCACACGGCTGCATCCAGGAACAGTCCACAGTAAACAACCGGCATGTGTTTCATCCCTTTTCTATCCTGTCCCTTTGAGTTATGCCTGTTGTCGTCACTGCTGTGTCTCTGTTTCTGGCACATTGTAGATACTCAATACGTATTTGTTGAAAGGATGAATAAAGACAAGCTTAGATGTTCAGACTTTTAGATCCTAATTCCTCTAGTGCCATGGAAGAATCCTAGAAGGAGTTCACATTTTATTATGCTTACCACCCACAAGATGAGAGATAAGTACGATTAAAACTCGTTTTACAGATGTTAAACACTGGGTTTAAATGACTTCCCCAAGGTTACACAAACAGTACGTGTTACAACCAGGATTCAAACTCATGCTATTCCATATGCTGCTCTTTTGTTTCTTTGATATGGAATTACTATTTACTCCATTGCAATAGATTTGTCATAGCTTAAATCATTCCCTGGGAAACAGAAAATCTATCCTCCGGATTTTTCATATAATAAGTAACCTAATACACAGATGTGAGCCCTGTCACTTGACACCGCCCATGTTATAGAAAAGTTCCACTCTGCTTCACAGACTATTTGCTCACATTGAGGTGCCAAACTACATTGGCAGAGAGGAGCGTACATTGACCTTGAATGTTTATACTTGTGAGCACACATCTGTTTTTGTTTATGGGGATGGGGGCAATGAGGGCGAGCACTCCTCAGCAGACATTCTTGACAGTGGTGGATTTCTCTCCTAGTCTGTGAAGTTTTATCATCTCTGAGGCTGGAAAGTAGGCTGTCAGTTTAGACTGTGCCCTTTTGAACCCAGAGGCTTCTGGGCTCTTCCATTCTTTCCAAAGAGTCATTATTTCTTCAGGGCTGAACTGAATCTTAAGAGATTTGAGATTTTGTGGTGAAGTAACTATATCCAAGGGACCTCGAGTAGAGACCTGGAAGAGTGAAACGGCTCTAAAAACCCCTCTCTTATCTGGTGATAAATTCAAAGTACAAGAGCTGAGTCCTAATTTGATCTGCCTTCCTAGGGGCACTCATTACTCTGCCCTTTTGCATCCTCTGCTCCAGCTCTTGCACGTGTGGAGGAGGGGAGGGTGCCCACCCTGGGAATCATTTCTGTTTCCTTCCTCTGTTGACACACCTTCAGAGAAGACATAATGCACACAGATTGCATGGGCACATGTCGCCTCATAACGTGTTTAGTATTAGCCTTCAGGTGGTTTCTGGCTAGCCCTTTCTCTGTGTTAGACACAGACTGGCCCCTGCACTGTCTATCGCAGGGGCAGGTTCGGACAGTTGGTAGTGGGTTTCATGAGGACTTTGCTCTTTCACTCAGCTGCTTTTCCTGAAAGAAGAGTTAAAAGCAGGGCTTTATGTTCCTTGGGTGCAAGCAACTAAGACTAGGTTTTTGCATCTGTCCCATCACCCCAAGTGATGAGACCAGTAGTCAGTTCATTGGCTGACAGAAGGTGGATCCTGTGACACTGTTTGGAAGTAAGCTTCTGCAAAGAGCAGGGTATGAAAAAATAGTGGCTATGGGAGGCGGAAATACAGAGGGGCTTGGTAGTGTGTCTATGAAGTGCTGTTCAGTCTGACTCTGTATTTATAGTCTAGTGCAATAAAAATGATTTTTTTCTTGGTTACAAAGGAAATAGGATGGCTCATTAGTTGGTAATTCCACATCTGACTTCTTAGATGTTTGACATTTAAATTGCACTTCCAACAGTTAAAACTTGTCTTCTGAAATATCTGTTCATTCCACTGGGAAAAGCATTTTGGAATATATATTACCTTCAGTGATGCCATCCATCTCCCTTTACCTCCCCACATCCTGCAATGCATGCTTACTTATTTAATTTTTTTTTTGAGATGAAGTTTCACTCTTGTTGCCCAGGCTGGAGTGCAATGGCACGATCTTGGCTCACTGAAACCTCCACCTCCCGGGTTCAAGGGATTCTTCTGCTTCAACCTCCTGAGTAATTGGGATTACAGGCATCCACCACCATGCCTGGCTAATTTTTTAATATTTTTGGTAGAGACGGGGTTTAACCATGTTGCAGGCTGGTCTTGAACTCCTGACCTCAGGTGATCCACCCGCCTCAACCTCCCAAAGTGCTGGGATTACAGGCATGAGACACTGCACCCAGCCTATTTATTTAATTTCATAACCAGCAACAAGCCTAGCATGCCAGACTTAAGTGTTCGCAAACTATAACTCTGCCAAGTAATGGGAACAAGAGGTTTTCTTCCTGTGGTACTGACAGGAGGTGATACTGGGTAAGCAATAGGTGGTCAAAGATTTGAGCAGGAAGGGGCCGCGTGCCCATTCCAGTTTCTTTGAGGGAGATATAAGGCATGTGTAAGTGTGAGAACCGGCCACTGCATTCAATGCTGTGGGAACCCAGGTTTCCCCTTTAGAATGCTTACACATTTTCATTAGATACATAAATTGGTACAATCCTTTTGGCACATAATTTGATAAATACTAACAGCCTTACATTTCTAACTAGTAATTCTTTTTCCACCAGTCTATTATTTAGTGGAACTTGTTATTATTATGAAATAATCAGAAACTTGGATAAAAATTTATACACAAAGCTGTTTATGGGAGTTTTATTTATAGTTGTAATAAATGTGATGTTACACATTTGGTAAAAGTGTGATTTGAATAATGAAAAGTGTTTAAATAAATGATGGTACATCCGTAAAATTTAATACTGAGGTAGACATTAAGGTTCTGCAAAACTATTTTGGCTCCCTCCCAGATTAAGTTAGAAATAAACATTTTTATAAGCCAGCTCTTGCCGCATAACAAACCACCCCAAAATTCAGTGGCTTAAGATGCTGTCAAAATCCATGGTTTGCTGGATGAATCTTTTGGTCAGAGCTGGCTAAGCTGGAGCTGGTTGTATGTAAGGGACAGCTGGGATGGCTCGGCCAATCTCTCCATGTGGTCTTTCATCCTGAGTCAATCTTAGATTATTCTAAAAGCATGAAAAGAGAAAAGCCACAATGCACAAGCATGTGTCAAGTTTCTGCTTATGTTACATTTGCTAATATATATATATTGGCCGGGCATGGTGGCTGATGCCTGTAATTCCAGCACTTTGGGAGACCAAGGTGGGCAGATCACTTAAGGCCAGGAGTTTGAGACCAGCCTGGCCAACATGGTAAAATCCTGTCTCTACTAAAAATACAAATATTAGTCATATGTGTGGCACATGCCTGTAATCCCAGCTACTTGGGAGGCTGAGGTATGAGAATTGTTTGATCCCGGGAAGCCGAGGTTGCAGTGAGACAAGATTGCACCGCTGCACTCTAGCCTGAGCGACAGAGAAAGATTGTATCAAAAGAAAAGAAAAGAAAGAAAGAATTAAAATTAAATATATATATTTATTTTACACCATGTAACTTGCTTTGGCTAATAAAATGTGTATGCTTTTCAATATTCTCCTTTCCTCTCACTTGGTGATCAGATACATTTGAAGTAGCAGCTGCTCTATCTGGCTCTGTTTCAAAGTGATCAAAATGCTGTCCTGCACTGGACGTGAAGCTTGAATCGGAAACAAACCTTTGCCATATGAAGTCATATAGCCACATTGAGAATTTTTTGTTATTGCTACAAATCCTAGTTTGTCTAAACTAATGCAAAAATCATGCAGGCACTAAAATGATATTTTAGGAAAATAATTATGTCAGAAAGAATTCAATAATATAACTATATAAACAAGCCGCCTATAAAGCGGGTACGTACTTGTATGTGTTATCTAATTCCAAATTTACATTTGTATTTGCAAACACACACATGCGTGAACACACACACACAATGTTAACTGTGGGTCATGGGTAATTATTTTCTTTTTTCTTCTCCATATTTTTCGAATTTTTGATATTGAATTTGTATCATCATGGTAAATTACGTATTTTTTTTCAATTTCTCCCTAGCCTGTCCCTATAAGAGTATTACTTGGCCTGGCGCGGTGGCTCACACCTGTAGTCCCAGAACTTTAGGAGGAGACTGAGGCGGGTAGATCATTTGAGGTCAGAAGTTCGAGATCTGCCTGATGAACATGGTGAAACCCTGTCTCTACTAACAATACAAAAATTAGCCAGGCATGGTGGCATGTGCCTGTAATCTCAGCTACTTGGGAGGCTAAGGTAGGAGAATTACTTGAACCTGGGAGGCGGCGGTTGCACTGAGCTGAGATTGCACCACTGCACTACAGCCTGGGCAACAGAGCAAGATTCTGTCTCAAGAAATTAAAAAAAAAAGTATGACTCATCCCTGTCCATCATCATGTGGTTTACTATCCTTCCTGTGGGGAAATTTTATGTCTCCACCTCACTGGACTGGGGCTTGGCCATGTAACACACTTTGGCCAATGAAATGTGAGTAAATACGGAATCTGTTATGTTGGATGTTTAAGATGCATTGTGAGTTTTGGCCAGCTTTTTTGCTTTTTCCCAGGTATGTCCCATTGAAGGGATTACTCTCTCAGCCTGGCTCATGGAATGAGACAGAAGTACAGAGAGGTACAAAAAATTTTTGTTCTGAATTGTTGAGATTTGGAGGGGTTTTGTTAACACAGCAAACCTCACTAAGAAAATGTATTTTTTACTTTAAAAAACACACCTAAAATATGGCCATCTGTGACTCATAAGCCACCAAATTCTATGTCCTGTCCATAAAGGACACTGCTTTCTTCTTTATCCCACACCGTTCTTTTCTCTCTTTTTCCCTTTCAACTTCAAGGGGAATACTACAAAATCAGGTTGTCCTGAAGTAAACCAGTACACAGATACAATATCTACTCCTGTCCTCTTATAAAGGAGTGGGTCATGTGATCCCAGCACTTTGGGAGGCTGAGGCAGGCGGATCACAAGGTCAAGAGATCGAGACCATCCTGGCCAACATGGTGAAACCCTGTCTCTACTTAAATACAAAAAAATTAGCTGGGTGTGGTGGCACGTGCCTGTAGTCCCAGCTACTCGGGAGGCTGAGGCAGGAGAATTGCTTAAACCCGGGAGGCAGAGGTTGCAGTGAGCCGACGTCGCATCACTGCATTCCAGCCTGGTGCCTGGTGATGGAGTGAGACTCTGTCTAAAAAAAAAAAGGAGTAGGTCATATCTCCTGCTTTCTGGAGATGTACCAGGAGTGTCACTTCTTTGGACCTGAGGACAGGTTAACAAAAAGGAGCTCATCTCTTATTCTACTGGATATTAGAGAGCAGGTGTATCCAGTCTTTTGGATTCCCTGACTCACATTCAAAGAAGAAGAATTAAGCCACCAATTTTTTTTATGTGTAGTTTTGGGCCACACATAAAATACATTAATGATAGCCGATGCGCTAAAAAAAATTACAAAAAAATCTCATAATGTTTTAAGAAAGTTTACAAATTTGTGTTGGGTCACATTCAAAGTCATCCTGGCTGCATGCAGCCATGCGCTGTGGGTTGGACAGACTTATTTTAGAGAATATTTTAACACTGGCAGGGAGTATGGCATCATTCAGAAGTCATTAACCAGCATGGAACCCTTATTCCAAATTAGAATAGACTTGTTTCTTTCAAAACTTGGCCAGGGATTTCTTAAAACATACAGAAGGTTGATCCTTTATACATAAAATATTCATTTATTCAAAGAAAATGAAGCTTCTTTTTAAATTTATATATATATATATATATATATATATATATATATATATATATATAAATTATCTAATCCTCCGTCCTAGTAACAAGGAAACTTAGATTTAAGTCTCTCAGTGTCCCCTCTGTCTTCTGCTCCAAGTGGCTTGTTGAGGTTTGCTGATTGTGTTGCTGTGGTGGTGGGTGGTTGGAACGCCAGTCTTTGTGCTGGTCTCATGCCAGATCTTCACCAGTTTTGAAGAAATGATTTCCCCATCTACTCTGTCACTCCTCACTCTACTGCCACCTCCTGCAAACACCTGTGGCTAGAATAATATTCTTGGTATGCTGTCTCTTAGCTCAGCAAGGGTTTGGGGCCTCCTGGTTAACTTGCCTCAACTCAGCTTTGAGGTTGTGTATTTCCTTAAAGTTGTGGGGATTCCCACTTGATCATTAGCCCAGGTGGTATGCCCCACAAGCTCCCACTTTGGTAATCCTCTGCTGAACTTGCCAGCCTACCATCTACCTTCTTTATCCTTCACTGGGACCTTGAAGGACTTCAGAACATTCTCCATACCACATGAGAGCCAAGGACAGTTGAGCTGAGCAGCCCAGATTGGTAGATGGGGACTATATTTTGTTCCAATTGCTGCCCTTAGGCAGGAGAATAATTTTCTGCCTTGCTGGAAGGATGTGAGCTAAACTTCCTGTCCCTGGCTTTGTGTGAAGGTCACAGAAGAAAGATAGACTCTATTATCCCAGTGGTTGCAAGTGAGGTCTCTGTAGGCTCTTCAGTTCTAAATGAGATTCTCTCCTGCTGCTCTGAGAGCTATTCTCTAGCTGTGTTTGGGAGCATATTTCCCATCTGCTTTTCATTTCCCCAGCATACAACATGGGAAGTCAAGATCACACAACATTCCCTTCTCATTCTCAGGATGGCTGTGAACTCCCATCCTTGAATGTTTTGCTCAGATTCATGCTGACTTTCTTGAATGGCCCCCAGCACACCCCATGTTACTTCTTACTTCTGAGCCTTGACCCATGCTGTTTTCTCTGCCCAGACTGCCCTTCTAACATCCACTGCCCTTGGGAAACTTCTGCTCATCCCCTAAGACACTGCCTAGGACTCTTTCTCTGAGGTGTTCACTTCACTCTGGGCTCTTTGCATAATGAACTTCATCAAAAAGACCTTCTGTGTCTGTCTTCATCATGAGGATAGAAGGTCCTAAGGGGCTAGGGTTTCTTCTAAAACATCTCTGTTTTTCTAATGCTCAACAAATGTTGGTTTACAAAAAAAAACCTTCGGTAAAGGATGTATGGGATCTTTCTGTATTACCTCTTACAACTGTGTATGAATTTACAGTGATCAACAATAAAAAATTTAATAATAATTTTTAAAAATCCCTAAATGAACAGAGCCCATCATTTTCTAAAGTTCCCTGGTTACCCACTGGTAGAAGATCAGAGTCCAAAGTAAGTCTGAGGCTTTTAAGAAGATGCCATTTCTAAATGAAGGGCGGATGCTTCACATTATTAATAGTTGGATCCCCCACTTGCCCTCAGAACCATCACGTTCAGAAAGCTTTGAGGGAAGTTAGGGCACCTGTTAGCACATTCAAATTACACTGATTATAAAAAGGAGAGCCTCTGGGCAGATGAATTAGAAAAACATGGGCTTCTCTAGGCTTGGTGTGTGGTAGAATCTTTGTGTGAAATAAAAGCATTGTACCCCTTCCACTGGGTACTTCGGCCACACAAGCTAAGAGAGGAGTCAATTTCAGCCTCTCTTCCCATCAGCCCCTCTCTCCTGTGTAAGGTACAACCTGAATGTGGCAGCCCAGGCCTGAGTATTTTCCTAGGTTTGCCATCTCACTTCAAAGGGCCAACTGGTATGTTTTAATCCCTACTGGAGTGTCTGCTCATGTGGAAACATTATTTGGGGGTGTAGCAAAAACTTAGCATTTTCTGTTAAATTTCTTAAATGAGTCAATGCAAGTAAAGAATTAGTGCCAGATGCAATGGCTCACACCTGTAATCCCAGCACTTTGGGAGCCAAGGCAGGGGGATCACCTGAGGTCAGGTGTTTGAGACCAGCCTGGCCAACATGGTGAAACCCTTTCTCTACTAAAAATCCAAAAATTAATCAGTCGTGGTGGCTTGCGCCTGTAAACCCCAGCTACTCAGGAGGCTGAGGCAGGAGAATTGCTTGAACCCAGGAGGCAGAGGTTGCATTGAGCTGAGATTGTGCCACTGCACTCCAGTTAGGGCAACAGAATAAGACTCTGTCTCAAAAATAAAACAAGAGCAACAACAAAAAGAGTATACTTGAGTTAGTGGCCCATTCTCCAACAAAATTAGCTCCCTTTTAGTGAAGATCCCCTCTGTCTTAATCCATTCAAGCTCTAGTGACAGTATACCATAAATTGGGTGCTTAGAAACAGCAGAAACTTATTTCTCACAGTTCTAGAGGCTTGGAAGTTCAAATCAAGATCTGGCAGATTCAGTGTCTAATGAAAGCCTACTGCCTGATTCACAGGTGGCATCGTCTGCTGTAACTCACATGTTGGAAAAGACGAGGGAACTCTTTCAGGTCTCTTTTTATGAAGGCACTAATCCCATTCTTATGACTTCATCACCTCCCAAAGGACTTACCACCATCACCTTGGGGGTTAAGAATTCAAAATGTGAATTTTAGGGGGACACAAACATTCAGACCATAGCATCCTCCTATGGAAGTTCTTGTTAGGATAAAGTTTTCTATAGGGTTTTTGTTTGTTCGTTTGTTTTAATACCTGGAGAGCAAAAGTGAGGGTCCAGGAACCAGTTCTGGTCTTTTTATGTTTTTCAAAGGAGTGGTCCTACGGGACTTTGCTAAGCAGGCAGAAATATGCATCTTAGTTAAGACTACAATCACCACACATAGTGTGTTTGTTGTATGGAGTAGGGGTAGAGTAATAGCCTGTTAAAATCACTTTTTAAAATAAGAAATGTCTATACATGTATTTGCATCTATTATTGTCTTTGATTTCTTTTCCATAAGACTGTGAATTCTTTATGCATAAGGACCTTGAGTTCACACTTGCATGGCTAATCTGCTGGGATCTGATGTTGTCATGCCCAGGTGATGTAGATACACACCTGACAACTCACAAGTAGCAGAAAGTGAAATATTGTTTACTGGGGATGCTTCGATGTGGAGTGGCAGCAGAACGCATAGCACCCTCACTATAATCATCAACAGAAAGCTGTGTACTTGGTCAGCCAGACCTGGATACTGGCTTCCTGGCAGGAGCTCCTGGGAAAGGACCCTGCCCCTTACTGCTCTATGTATTTATGAGAAACGATGGCAGAGGGCATCTAGCACACTGTAGATAGTAGCAACTTCTTGGTTGAGGAAGCAGCCTTGTTAGAAGAAAGAACTTCTAGAGTTCAGCCTCTGACATCAGCCTGTTTTTCCCTTGAGCTAATACAGACCTGCTTAGCCAGTTTCTTGCTAACCAAGAAGGCTGCTGGGATATATCTTGTCTTCTAGCACCAAGTACGTAATTGGGCACTCAGTAAGTGTTGAATGAATAGAGCTATTATTGCTAGGAGGAAACTCATGGTTCTTTCATTTAGATTTACTCTCCTCTCACAAGATGGCTATAGTAAGATCCCTTAGGAAGGGTCAGGGGGGATGTTGTCTTCCTGCCCATTTCATAGAGAATGGAGGGAGCAGATTAGCTACCATGAGGTGTTTTGTTTGTTTTGCACCTGGATTCTTAGAATAGAAACCAAGAGAGCTTCTCTGTCCTGCTGAACAGAAGAGGTAGCCACTGGAGAGACTAGGTACAGAGGAACCAGGGAAGGCATAACTATATGCCCCAAATCACAGTTTGGGGCAGAGTAGCCCAATCATACTCCATTGTGCCATGGAGAACCTCGAGACCATTCTTGGGAGGGGTCTGAGTAGGTATAATGGTCATGTTGTTTCAGCCCAAACCTCAGGGCAGCCACGTGGCAGCTGTTGAGTGCTCTTTTCAAGGTAAATGTTTGAAACCAGGACTGTCCCAAGGGGGAATAAAAGTCCAGGATTCATCACTGAGATGGGTTTCTTGTGGTTCCTGAAGGCCCCAGCATTACAGGAGGTTCCAGATCTGCTGCTTCAGGGATCCACATGGAGCAGGATCATGCTCCTGCTGAAACTGAAGGGACAGGGCAGTGGGAAGAGTCTCCATCCCAGGACGGCAGGCTTCCACAGCCACAGCAACTCATGATGGGCCTCAGGGGAGGGGATGAACAGAGCTGTGTCCTTTGGAGCCAGAGACATCAGGGCTCAGGTAGTGTGGAGGATCCTCTCTGTGCAGTGGCCAGCCACTAAACTGGGTTGGGCAGTGAAGGACCAAGAAGCTGGAATCCTTCTATGGGCACGAGGAGGCACTGCAAGAGAAGGCAGAAGATGGGTTTCTGAGCATTAGGCGAGCCTTTTTTTTTTCTCTCCCTCAAATGCAAAAGAATCCCAGGGTAGGATGAATCTGTGACCTACTGGTGACAGGTGGACCCATGAACTTGAAATACCAAGGATAAGGAAACAGCATATTCTACTGAAGGTTTACATGGCCCAGTGGTCCCCAACCTTTTTGGCACCTGGGAACCAGTTTCATGGAAGATGATGTTTCCATGGACCAGTGTGGCGGGCAGGGTGATTTCAGGATGATTCAAGCACATTACATTTATTGTGTACTTTATTTCTGTTATTATTACATTGTAATATATAATGAAATAATTATACAACTCACCATAATGTGGAATCAGTTGGAGCTCTCAGCTTGTTTTCCTGCATTTAGATGGTCTGTCCCATCTGGGGCTAAAGGGAGACAGTGACAGATCATCAGGCATTAGATTCTCATAAGGAGTGCACAACCTAGATCCCTCCTATATCCAGTTCGCAATAGGGTCTGTGCTTCTATGAGAGTGTCATGCTGCCTCTGGTCTGACAGGAGGCAGAGCTAGGCAGTGATGTGAGTGATGAAGAGTGTCTATGAACACAGATGAAGCTTCTCTCTCTCGCCTGCCGCTCACCTTCTGTTGTGCGGCACAGTTCCTAACAGGCCATGGACTGGTAACCAGTATTGGTCTGTGACCTTGGGTTTGGGGACCCCAGATATGGCCCGTCTACCACTACTACTATTACTACTGCTACTACTATTACTGGCTAATGAGGCACTTTGCTAAAAGCTGTACAAGCATTTTTCCAATTAATCCTAGAAATAACCTTATGAGGTAAGTACTGCAATTTACGAATCTGAAACTAAGCAAGGCTGAGTAAGTTGCTCAAGATAAAATAGCTTGGAATGGTCTAGTCTGGAACAGAACACAGTTACGTTGGACTCCAGAGTCCACAAGCCTCAACATTACTCTGTTTTGTATGTGTCTCAAATGTCTTAGCAAGTAATTGACGCAGCCAAGATAGCTTCCCTCGGTGAGTGCCATGTGGCAGGAATTGTGTTTATTCTCCTCTCCACTGTGGTCCCAGTGCTTAGCACGGTGCTTGGCTACCAATAGGTATTAGATATGTATTTGTGGAATAAAAACAAGAACGTGTGTGTAGCAGAAAACCATCAGTTTTTACTAAGCTTCTTTCCTGAAGAGAGTTATGAATCATATTCCCATCCCAGGTCAAGGGATGGAGAACGTGATCATCAGGCTGTTTGTGCTTTTAACATTTCAGATTCAAAAACAAGCACTATTTTATGATCAAGATGAATTATCCTCACATTCTATCACATCTTATCAGACTCTTCTTAATTCAAAATGCTGTTGGTACTATTACTTAATGTAACTGGAGCAAGCAATAAATTCCACTGGTCTGCAGAGACTGTGGTTGGGTTCCCAGTACCAAAATGATTTTGATTATTGAGTTGGCATATACCCCTAAACATTCCTAAATCAGTGGTTGGCAGCAGCAATATTCTGAAAGAAAGAGTAAGAAAATACAGCCTATGCACACACATACACACATGCATGCACACACGTAGCAGCTTCGAAGCCTCTTACACATTAATGGATTCCTTATGGATTACATGGCTGTAATTGTGAAAGAGGACAAAGAACCAGAGGGAACCTCATTTCTTTAAACAAAAACATTTTTTAAAAGACCTTTCTTTTGAAAAGTCATTTGTGTTTTTTTCTGAAGAGAGTAGAAAAAAAAAGCTCCAACATAATGGAACTCTTAAAAATGTGTCAGCAACACAATAGAAAACCAGAATAAATGTAGGCAAGGCAACCACGTGAAGCCAGTCACAGAGTGAGTTCGTTTGTACTCTTAACAGCAGACAGGGATGGAGAAAACAACCAGCAGGAGAGAGAAGTGCCAGCTTACTATGAGAAGTGCCAGCTCATAGTAAGGGGGCCAGTAGGCTCTGGGAATGGTGTCCCGTATGGGGAGGGATGTTCTAGAATTAAAAACAACAGACAATTCATATCATATTCCTAAAATTGGTATAATGAAACCTGTTTATATTATTCTCAAATTAATTGTTCAATGTTCGAATGTCAGTGTCCCAGCCAATTACCCACCAACAATTTCCTTGGTTGTAACATTTTCTTTCCTTGGTCTTTCGAAAAAAATAACGAATGAGTTTCTCTGAAATATCTTCTTATGTCATGGAGGTTGGGAGTTCATCTTGGGACACTGGATGTGATGGTAGGGGAGCCCTTGGCTGAGACCAGGAGGTTTTTGTGATTGTGAGGCAACTTTTGATCCCAATAGCTGATGGTTGACTGACATTTTGGAACAAGATTTTGCAAGAGACTGGGGAAAGAAAAAGAAGGAGCATGGGAGGGAGGCACTTAAAAGATTGAGAAGGCAGGAATAAGCTGAATGCTCCCAGATTTGAGGAGGATTTTGTTATTGGACACAGATCTCTGGTGAGCTTGCAGCCAGGATGTCGGAGGCCCAGTATGGGGGACCTAGTTTAGGTTTTCTTGTCAGCTTTGTACTAACCTTACCAAGCAAATGGGCTCTATGAGAAAAGGTACATTATTTTCTCATTTATACATTAAGTAGCAACGTATACAGGCATGAGGGGGACAGCCTTTCCTGGAGGGTTTAAGGTAATATTTTAGATAAAATAAAAGGAAATACCACTTTAGATGCCTGGAAATTGCTTCCCAGAGAAGTGGCATAAGCTAAAAGTAACTAGTTCCATGAAAGATTTATCTAGATTCTTTGTTACTAGATTTGTAAATACTTTTCTTAGTGGAAGTGAAATGTTTTGGAGAATGTTTTTAAGTTTTCCTTAGTATTCATGTCAGAAGCAGAATATTGGTTGGGTTGCATAGGATCTGACTGATTATATAATTTCTTGCTGAAAAGGGTTACCACACTTTGGAAGATTTCAGGAAGCCCCTCTATCCAAAGTGTGTGGAAAAGTAGAAAAAAGGAATGAGCTTTGCAGTGAGACAGCCAGGGATTTGAAGCCTACTTGCACTACCTTCTGGCTGTAAGACCTTGGGTAAACCACTTAACCTCTCTGAATCTCAGCTCAGTGCTGAGGACAAAAATATGTGCCTAACAAGGTTTTTGTGAAGAACAAGAGATCACGTATGTGAAAATGTAGCACAGGCCTGTGGCACATAGTAGCAGTATTAGTAGTATTAGGTTGATGCAAAGGTAACTGTGGTTTTTGCCATTTAAAAGTAATGGCAGGGCAGGTGCATTGGCTCATGCCTGTAATCCCAACAGTTTGGGAGGCCCAGGCAGGTGGATCACATGATACAAGCTTGTAATCATTTAACTAGAAATAACAGGTCTGCCCGTAGCCATCTTGGCCCACAGTCAGGAGTTCAAGATCAGCCTGGCCAACATGATAAAACCCTGTCTCTACTAAAAATACAAAAATTTGCCAGACTCAGTGGCATGTGCCTGTAATCCCAGCTACTCAGGAGGCTGAGGCAGGAGAATCACTTGAACCCGGAAGGTAGAGGTTGTGGTAAGCCAAGATTGTACCACTGCACTCCAGTCTGGGTGATGGAGTTAGATCCTGTCTCAAATAAAATAAAATGAAATAAAATAAAAATAAAAGTAATGGCAAAAGCTATGATTACTTTTGCACCAACCTACTAGCTGTCCAATAAATGTTTGCTCCACCCATTTTCTCTCTCACGTAAATAAGTAACATACTAGCCCTAAGCACTTACCATACATATAACTTCATTTATTCTCACAACAATTTTATGAGAGAGGTACCATTATTGACCCAATTTTACAGAGGAAGAAACCAAATCTTAGTGAGTTTAAATACTGTTTAAGATGGAAGTTATCTATGCTGTATAATAAACAACCCCCAGAACTTAGTGGCTTGAAACAACCACCGTTTTATGATGTCATGATTCTATGAATAGACTGGGCTCAGCTGGGTGGTTCTTCTACCCCACATGCTGATGTCTAGGGATGCATTTATTTAAAGGCTCAACTGGGTTGGAACATGCAAGATGGCTCCCACGTATGGCTGGCGGTCAATGCTGATTGTCAGCTGCGAGCACAGCTGGGACCATCCACAAGGGCACATACCCATGCTTGTTTCTCCATGTACCTTTCACAGGATGGTAGCTGTGTTTCAAAAGGGGGCATTCCAAGAGGAAAGACATGTAAACTTCTAGTTCTTTTAAGACTTGAGCTCAGAAATCTCAGAATATCTCTTCCGCCACTATCTAGTGATCAAAGCAGTCACAGGCTCACCAAGATTTGAGGGAAGGAGAAATAAACTTTGCCTTCCAGTGGAGAAGTGGTGTGAATGTACGGGAGGCAAGGAGTTGATGACAGCCATGATTGGAGACTATCTACCACAAATGCTTTGCCAAAATCACAGAACTAGTCAAGTGTCAGAGTTAAGATTCCAACCACACAAATCAAAATACATATTCTCAGCCACTAGACCATACACATACACATAACAATATATAATTACATGCTCCTATCTATGGAAAACACAAGTAAAATACAATTTCAGAGGAAAGATCAACAAAATTAAGAGCTCTAAAGGCCAAAAACAATAAAACATACTTTTTTTGTGCGCTTTATCCCCATGCCATGCAGAATAAATGTTACTTCTTGAACACATACGCATACTCATTTGCCCTTTTGGGCAATCCATGCTTGTGTGGCAGATGTCAGAGAGCCCTGTAGTTGTTAAGGGAAGCTTCCAGGGAGAAGCAAAATTTAGCCTGGCTCTGAAGTCTAATTAGGATTTGAAGAAGAGAAGTAGATGAAGAAAGGGGAGGAAGAGAAAATATGAACAAAAATGAGCAGCAAGTAGTAGCTAAGGGATGGAGGAAGGGACAAGGCTGAAGTGATTTGGAATGGTAGGACTGATTAATAACTCAACTGATGATTAAAAGTAAATTTGTTCCCCATATATATATATATATATATATATATATATATATATATTTTTTTTTTTTTTTTTTTTTTTTTTTTTTTTGAGATAGGGTCTCACTCTGTAACTCAGGCTAGAGTACAATGGCATGATCTCAGCTCACTGCAACCTCTGCCTCCTTGGCTCCAGCGATCCTCTTCTCTCCTACTTCAGCCTTCCAAGTAGCTAGGACCAGAGGTGCATGCCACCACACCCACCTATTTTCATATTTTTTGTAGAGATAGTAGTTCACCATATTTCCCCGGTTGGTCTCAAACTCCTGAGCTCAAGTGATCCACCCACCTCAGCCTCCCAAAGTGCTGGGATTACAAGTGTCAGCCACGGTGCCCGGCTGGTTCCCTATCTTTTTAAGTATCCCAATGTAGCACTGGGAACCTGATTAAAAAGAATGAAGAGCCTCATGACACCAGCCCAACTGTGCAAACTC